GCTACAAAATGACACCTCAACCGATTCTGTAAGCCTTCTGAATAAATTTCTATACACTTTCAAAGTTGTAAAGTCCTTTTTGAATCACCTGGTATTACATTCCATACCAAAGCAAAATGTCACCTTGTAGAAAAGTATTTCACTATTACGAATGCAGAATAACAAGCTTGTAGGTGTCACAACACAGAGCAATTAGTGACATGCCTAGCACACATGTGATTGTTAACCAATGCTGCTTCAAGGTGAACAACCCTGACTGGTGGGATCATCAAACTGTGACTTGGAACAAAGCATATTGAAACTTCAACAACCATAATATGCAATGGTGCAGAATAAAGTGATCAATGATGAACGTATTGTGTACATTTTGAATTGAAAGGTGGAAATATTCTGCAAGACTAGCATATCAGGTAGTGAACAAAGTAATAGGCAAGTGACTGTAGTAGTCAGTGGATGATATTATCATAAATATGACATATTTATTAGTTGTCCATACCAGATTTCATCAAAATATTTAGTGTATACACACTTATAGTTTGAAAATGCATAATATTTAAATCATGTAAATGTTAGATCATTCTAGTTTAAACTGTAATAGTGTTGATGTATGAATGATTATTTTAAGCTCACTAATACCATATCAAAGAGGAAATGTGTCACTTTTTAATAAAAAAACAGCAACCTTTATAAAAACAATAATTTATAGGTTACTAATTTTTAATGCCATTCATTATAGTGACATTTTATTGCAATGAATATAATTTGACAGTCCACGCATGATCATTACACTGAGATTTTACTGTATAATTTTTAACAGATTCAATCATGTACCATTTCTTTAAAAATTTTGAACCAAAGTTCATACACTGAAATTCAGAACCGATGTTTATTAACAGAAGAAATTCCAAATTAATTATATACTAAGTGTTCCTGCTCATGCTCATGCTGTAGTTTTACAAAATATGTTATTTTACACTGCATTCAGTATTCAAAGATAATGTGATTATCACAGCAAATGAGAGTGCTAATTAATCAGTTTTATTTCAATTTTAGACAATACTTTGTGTTAGCTTTCCATGTTTGAAACCCAATAGCCCATTAACTGAACATCTCAGTACTTACTTCAATGCTTGAGAGAGAACTGATGTACGTTCTTGAAACTCAGCATCACATGTTATTAAACAATCTCTTACACTGGAAAGGGAGCCATTTGGTCCGTTACTTGTATGATGTGTTAATACATCATCAGTACAGGATGTTTCACATGTAAATATATCTGAGCTCTGTAGTTCAGACCTCTCTGACTGGACACGAGGTACATCATAACTGTTGTCATTAACTTCACATGAAGAGGTAACTGTGATATCATCATTCCAGTTACATTTGTCCCCCTGAGTCTTCTGATAATCCATACAACCACAATCAGAATCTTGCTTGCCAATGCAGTTTCCCTGCAGTTTATTTAATTCAGATGTTTTATACTGGCTGAAACGACCTAAGTTCTCCAGAGGTGTTATGCTGATCTAAAAAAATTAACAATTTATTTTTTATCTCCAACAATCTGTGCCTATACACAAGCATGTGAATGACGTGCACACACACACACACACACACAAGACTTTTGCATATCTAATGATGCACACTTTTCTTCAATACAGTATTACCAAATTCATAACCCCTGCTACATTAGTGATACTATAATTTACATGCTATGCAATTTATTTATCCATGTTAAATGGATCTCATATCACCAATGGCATATCATGTCCTCAGGCTGTGGTTGGAGATCCATATATGGATGGTAGATGCAAATATTTGCATATTGAATAGGCAGTCACAGAAATCCAACAACCTCATAAAAACTAGCACATTATAAAATGTTACACAGAGCCTTGAACTCGTGTGCTCATTTTAACATTACAACTAACCTTTACATTCCTAAGGTAGTCAATTTCTTGATTAACTAGCTGAGACACTATAAGCTTCTGAAAAATAAATCAGTTACACACAGTTAATAAGTAAATTGTTAGTAAGTAGTGATGCAATATTAGGTTCTAAAATATTATAAGCATCAATTTCAACTAATTTCTACACAAGGTGACATCACAACTGCTTTCCATTTGGTCATAAACCTTGAATATGACTGAAAAGTATTCTAGTAAAATGAAGTGCTAATATTTGTTATTATGGGAGAGAAAATCAACACAACCATCAAACAAATACCCCATGTGCTGAAAATATTGGTAGGCATCAAACACACCATTCTTCAATTTATGCATGTCCTTATACCAGAGCTAAAAGTAGGCCTTATTGACATCTGGAGTGAAATTGCAGCACAGAACTGGGAGAGGAGTAAATGAAGTACAGATGGTAATGTCAGTGCCAAAAAAATGGGGGTGTTGGACAGTCAAAGAATTTACATCACTCACTAGTAGGTCTGCTGGCTGTACGTAAACAAATCCTCACTAGCCAAGAACCACTGCACCTGTTATACCAAGATATTTCATTGTTTAAACCTGCTCAATAATCTGACCACTTATTTTTGTCTGATCATAATAACTCCTTCCATTTCATGGTCACAGATCCAATCTTTACAACTGAGATAGTCATAGCATATTTTCAGCTGATTTAAAAGACTGAATCTGCGATGACAACAGAAAAATTAAAACTACAAGAACTGTTTGCCGCATTTAGAATGATTAAGACATAAGCTACTGCAACAAAAGGATGTGGTTACATTTAGTGAAGAGGGCAACAATAATCTGTAGGAAGTATTATTGTTGTTGTTGTTGTTGTTATTATTATTATTATTACTACTACTATTCAACTGGATTTAAAACTTTCATTTAAATTATTAAGCCAAGAACTGCTTTCACTAACATTTTAGAGAAGGAACATACCTACACTATATACCAGAGTAAGAAAACAGAAATGACTTCATGCAGGCAATGTCACTAAAATATGTCCATAAGACAGAGAGTAACTTCTAAATGCCAGACAGGCCACGGGCATGGGCTGTTATAAGTAGTAACACATAAGACATACAAGTTGCTAGGATGTGGATACACACCTTAATCTGACCACTGCACTGTCCTGCAAAATCTGTAATATTAAACCATCCAGATACCCATGGCATTCCAAAAAGTAAAACAGTAAGATCAACAGCTGCAAAGCCCAAAACTATGTCTCTGAGAGGGTCCTTGCAATACCCAGTCACACTTTGCCAAACTTTGAAGATAAAGCGTTTACAATTCTGCAAAAAATAAATGGTTTAAAATCAGGCAAACATGTTAATTGATTAGCTGAAAATAATTACAATAACAAATGCAACTAAAATTGTTTTATATACCATATAGAAATTCAATTAGAAACTGACATGTCACCATCACAGAATTAAAGTTAATTTAAAAATAATATTAGGAGAATATATTCAGAAAAGTAGTAGTAGTAATAATTGTTACTGTTATTTTTTAAACTGAAGATATATTTTCATCTAGCTTCCAGAACATTATAGTTTAATACACATAAAATATCCTCTTATCCAATATTTTGTGTAGATGTAAGACATGGTCTTTTACTTGAGAAATGGGTATAAACTGCAGGTATTTAAAAACAAAATGTTGAGGAATATGTCTAGACCTGAAGGAGATAAATTGATCAATTAAGATGGTATTGGAGGAAATGAGTTTTCAGGTCAAGAAGATACTGGATTAATCATCACCACTACCAACAAAACAAAAAGGTAATAACAAATCTGTCAATATAATAAAAACCAATGACTGCAAGATGAGAGTGGAACCAACTCCTAAACCACTGTGTATATTAAAATATATCTCACGCAATGGGCAATGTCCAACATAATATTCTTACAATGAAACAGCCTGTGTCACAAACCTTTTGGGAACCATTAAAATCATTGTCAATGGTTTAAATGTTTATAAAATTTATCATTCTCTATGTATATAATGCTTCATTACAAGGACACTTACATCTGTCAGGAGATCTGATGGCAACCAAGTATCACAATGCCAGCACCATGATGGATTGGCAGTGTGTGACACTAGTGGAGTAAACATCTTCATTTCTGATTTATTGCCATTTTGACAGGTAACGTAGGTGCTTGGTTGTACAACAGCTCCTGTAGTCTCAGTTCCCTTAAGCTTACTGTGACACTGAAGATACATGGCCCTTTCTATTTCCAGATGAACTTGAAAGTAACTTTTAGGATCTATTTCAGCAGACTTTGATTCTATTGACTCGTGCAACACAGATGACAACTGCCTTGCATTTGAAGCCTGGTTGATCATTCCTAAGAAATGGTCACTATTCAAATCGGTTCTCTCCGACTCAGAACAAAGTAGTTTACTATCCTTTAAACCACTGTTAAATGTAGTAAGAATGTGACACAGTGATGCATGGCAGCAGTATGGAGACAATTCTTTATCACCCAGTCTTCCCTTTATGAGCTCATTTTGTAAAAAATCACTGTTAAGTGAGTCACTCAAGTCTCCTGGTTGCACATTTGATGTCTCACTGTTACTAACACACATGTCTGAAATAATATCAAGTGGTGGACATCTAGGAAATTCACTTTCAGTGGCTTTAGGGGAGTTCTGTAATGTTACTATATCAGAATTACTCAAATCTAAGACAAGTATGTCAGATTGCGATTCCTGAAGATCTGTACTTAATCCAATATTTTCTTGCATATTTGAAGGCTTAATAGTGCCTATTTTGGCATTAAATATGCTATCAGTTTTCAGTCTGGGACCAGACTGTAAAGACTGATAATTTTTTGATTGTAACTGTGACTTCTTCTCTTGGTGATCCACAATATAATGAGAGAACTCTTTTGTTCCTGAATTTCCCTGGAACCTGGTACCACTATTCAGCTCTCTCTTATCTTTAACTTTGTACAATTCTGATGTTGATGAAGGCAATGACTCCATTATATCATTTGCATCTACTGACACACTTCTAAGATTTTCTTGGGTACCTAATATAGGTACACTATCATTATATGAACACTCTTGCAAGGATTCCATTACATGCACCTGTTCATAGAGACCCTGAGGCAATTCTAAAGTTATTGTTGAATTATTGTTGACGTGCCTTGCCTGAGATTCAGATATCCCTGAGAACTGTGGTTTGTGACAGTCTTCTACCAAACATGGAGATGGTTCCATCGATGTAAGTTTTCCTACAGATGCTATTTGAATATTGCAATTACTGTTGTTAGTTGTTGGTGCAGGTTCTTGGAATGAAGGTGTGAAGACAGCTTCTTTAAGACCACGAGATACTTCTAGTAAATGAACTTGATCTTCAGTACCAAGGGCTAGTACCACATTAAGATGACCAGATAGCAGGCCTGTCACTGGGTTGCTAACTGTTATCCATCCATCAACACCAATTACAGGATACTGTGGAAAAAGACAATTTTACATTCACAACATAAATAAACTGTCTTTACACAAACAACTTACATTAAACTTTTGCATAACTATATTTATTTTTGCAGACATCTCAAAAATTACTTTCCTAGAAATAGCCTGTTTCAGGAGATGGTACAGACTTTATACACTGTCCAGTAGTACATACATCATTATATCTCATTGACTGATGTATTGTAATCCAGATATATGTAAGATTTGAGGTTTTCACAGCTGTGAGTATGAAGATTTCTGTCTTCTGGGTTGTTGCACTGTGTAGTCTGGTCGATGTTAACCACATTTCAGAGACAGAAATCTTCAATCCAGATATAGTCTGAATGAATGCTTTGCTGGTGCAGTTACAGTTCAATAATAACAAATCTAAGCAGTCAACAACTGTGCAGTTTCCAAAAATTACAGCTTAATAAAAATACTCAGGCTATATCACATCAAATTTCGTTTCCGAAGAGTATCTACTACTGTATATCAGGAAAGTAACAGAAAAGAATTTTCATTATTTACTTCTGAAGCATCTTTAGATATTTCTATCTAGATCTGAAGTTTTGTGACATAATACACAAAAAATTAAAACTGGATGCTTGGAGAGACCTCTAAGACCTTCAATATCTGTGCAACCTTCAGGGCTGGTAAGCATACCCACCCCTTAAAGTAGGTAATTTGATTACATATTAATCTTTGACAATCTAAGAGCCCACAGAACCATTTTAGACAAACAAGATTCTATTCTAAATATGTATGTATTGTTCATAATAAGACAATATTATTCCATTTGGCTAACTGCAATTGCTTATCACTGGGAAATAGATATCCATTTTGAAACATAAAAGTTAAACATCATTTAGATAAAGAATGTGAATACTAACCTTTGATAACAGAAGCTGAGCAGCAACTACAGGATCTCTATATGCAACAAAGAACTTGTTCAGGGGTAGTTTAGCAACCCCCATCAGCGCATCACAATCTGCAGAAAGTTTTCTCTCCCACAATTCTACAACTAGAACATTGTTATGGCTGCGCTCTAGGAGATCTGCTGACAACAGAACTGGAATCAACTAAAAAAGAAATATTATCTTCCACCAGAGTAATGAACAACAAGAGATTCTACTTGTGTAATATGAAACATACGGTAAACATGACTTTTTAAATGATCCTCAAACAAAATCTGAAAATGGCATGATACACCAAGCCTCTTCTCTATTTTAAGTTTAATACAAAGATTAAGTAAGGCCTATCGATTTTACAAAACAATATTCCTAGCCTCATCAAATCAAACTGTTATAAACAACTATAATTCATACTTGGCAAAGCTTACAGTACCTCATGGAAATTATAATGTGGATATCCCGTCTTGCAATATATGTCACTGATGATAACATCCTCTTTCCAAAAAGTTCGACAAAGCATGTAAGAATTTAAACCATCAAAACCTTGGCCTTCTGAGATGTGCAATAAACCATAGAGGAGAATAGGCTGTAACGACAAACACGAGCATTTTAAACTTTCAGGTGACTAGCAAACACTATGTACTACACTTTTTAGCTGCAGCTTATTCAATTTGTACTCAGTTTCATGCGTCTTTAAGCATGAGAAACGGAATCTTGAAGCACAAGGCCCACAGCACTGAAAGCTTTAATACAAACTCTGCAGTAGTCCTTGCTGGCTGCCATTGTGTCAGCACAAACACCTGTACACCTGACACTCTCACATTCACACAAAGCATGGATCACTGAAAAATCATCACTTGCTACAGAGGCTCAACCAATAATGATAAGGGCGGTGGTAATGATTATGATTAGCATATGCATGATAATGCATGCCTTACCTTGTTCACGTTTATCTCTAAGTGTGAAGAATCTACCACTCTGTCTTCTAACTTGATGTTTTGTTGATTATTCTTGCAAAATTCCTGTTCCTTGTTTATCTTATAGCTTACAAAGCTTTTCCCTTTCTTTAAAGTCCTCTTTGAAATGTCAGAAACATGAAGTCTGGGAGTCAGCCTTGAATCTGGCACATGATTTAGGGTACTCTTATTATTATTTCCAAATATATCAAGTTTCACACCTTCACAGCCACTGCCAGCTTCAGTACACAAGCCTTCATTATTTATTTCTTTCAGAAGATTATTACCAAAATATTTCTGTCCTGACCCTAGCTCAACTTTAACCTTCAAAACTCCTAAAACTACTTCACATTCAGGTACCTTGGTTGTATGTAAAACTTCTATATCTTTGTAAATGCTAAATGTTTCCGATAATAAAATGTCAGTCATTCCCATTTGTGCTTCACCAATTTGTGAAGGTATTCTCTGATGTAACTGACGAGAGTAAATCCTAAATGTAATGATGACATCTCTTAGAAGTCTGTGCAATGAAGCCTTGCTTGTTGGTAGTACATGCAATGAACTCTGTCCAAAATAAATATCTGCAAAAGATGAAACTGAATTTAGTACACAGCACTTTTATATGTTCTTTAATCAAGTACATAAATTGTGTAACAAGGACATGTCAGTCCATCTCCAAATTTCATCTGCAAAACTACTTGACAGATTCCAACTAAATGTGATAAAGGGGGAATTCACAATAAAAGTTGTCACATTAATTTAATTTAGGTGCAGACTGGTCACTTATAACCCAGGCTTTACAGAAAGCCCAAACTGACTCATAAAATTTCTCAAAGCTCATCATTATTATATAAAACAGCAATACTATAAACATTCCTAATACTGATAATTAAAATAATATAAGCAACATAAATACATTATAAGAAGAAGAGTAACTATAACACAATTTATTTCTGTTGAGAATAAAGTTAAGTTACCTGAGCCAATTTTCTTCCTTGAACAGAACCTCTTCACAATGCTGTGATCAGGCCCATTATTCTTTGAATATTTGCTTATGTCTTGTTGCTTTATTATTCTTCTCTTTCCCCTTGATATTAAATCAACTGGATACACAAGTTCATATTCAACAAAGTAAACTGTCCCACACTGCACAGGCAATTTATTAAGCAAATTCATTTTTTTGGTTTCTGCCTGTACACAATCTTGATACTGATTCCTTCCATTATTGTTCATGACCAAGCTATGTACTCTAATTTGAATACTGTCAACATTTTTCATTAGGAAGTCTCTATGAAGAATGGTCTCTGTAAATGAAAGTAAAACATGAACAAGTACAATGGACAGAACAAAGATTAGAGTTCTATCAATACAACTGATATATTATCTTTCACATATGGAAACAGATCACTAGCACTAAATGTTTCAGTGTGTCTACATCATCAAGTGTGTTATGATATACTAAATTTCAAACATCATTTACTAAAATACATTACCCATACACATTTCTTATCTGTGGTTTATTCAATGATGCTGTCAGCTGCTCAGACTATAATATAATATGAGAGTATGATTAATAATGAGTTGGAAAGGAGATCAGAGGAAGCAGTAATGACCTAACTTGAGGTACTATCCAAGTATTTATCTAAAGTGACTAGGAAAATTATAAAAAACCAGTCAAGGCAGCCAACTTCTGAACTCAGACTTGAAACTTGGACCTCCTGAATATAAAGCAGAGTACTAATAATACATGCCCCACGCAGTAGCCGCGCAGTCTGAGGCATCATGCTTCGGACCGGCGATACGGAATGCGTGCTGGTTCGAGTCTCGGGGGAGAAGAAATTTTCTCATGAGCTTTCGAACAGTGTATGGGACCAGTGCCAACCCAGCATCGTGAGGAAATGAGTATTGTAATCAGGTCATGAAAGCTAGCAGTGGCTGGGGGTTCGTCGTGCTGACCACACGTCACCCTATATCTGGTTGGATGATCGTTCACCTCTGCTTAGGCATGTGGACGTGAGGCCAGCAGTCAAGCTAGTCGGCTTTGGCTCTCTGGAGCTGTTACGCCACAGATTTAATTTTTTTTAATAATACATAGCTGTGACATTCAAAATGACCTTTAAACATCTCCACATTTGTTTCTTTATTAACTTGATGATCTGTCAACTTCAAATTACATTCATGACAAAATCAAGAGCAGATTAAATTAAGTGAATGCTTAGCCTACCACATCCTAGCCTGATGGTGGGGCGATTACCTTACCAGCTACAGGCTTGCCAGAAATTTAAATTTAAGACTTCGCATTTCCTCCATATCAGGTGCTAAGGTTATACTGCTTTTTCGTTGGTTACCAGAGTCTCTTTCATGGTAACAGGGTGGCCAAGAATTATCTCCAATGAAAAATTGTGGCAAGATACCAAGCAATCTGACATCAACATGGAAATAAGGAAATGCAAGTTCAGATGGATTGGACATACGCTCAGAAAGAATGATGCTGAAGCAGGAAATGCTGCTTTCCAGTGGAACCCTCAGGGTGTAAGAATGAGAGCAAGATCAAGGAGTAGCAGGCGAAGATCTACGCTAAGTGAATGTGGGAGCAGAAAATGACAGGTTGATCAGCTGGGGGAAGAATTTGGAAGTGGTTATGACCTTTCTTAAAGTATTATCTGGCACTGGCCTTGAAAACCTGTCCAGATTCTTCCAATATAAAGCAAAAATGCTGATCACTGCACTGCAATTATTAGTCCAACAGTAAAGCAAAGTACTTGCAAAAGAACAGAGCTCTCTGTTGTCAAGAGCCAGATACATATCAAAAAATAAATAGTACGACATGACATTCCTTTCCTATGGATCATGTCTAGGAACATACCAGTTTATAAATAGGGATTGATAATTTCAGGGTTTAGTTAATTAAATGATAGAAGGTGAACTGCTTAGAAAATACGCCTAACAGTAACATCAGTAGCACCCATTCACCAGACTTATACCAATTACCTATGCACTGCAGGGACTTCTTACCTGACTGTAAAGGTCTAATATTAGCTTCTTTACTTTCAGCAATCTGGCTACCACATTCCTCTCTTCTTTCAGTACTATTTTTCCCTTCTGAGGTCGGGACTGAAGAAGCAGCATCACTTTCTGGTTCTGAATCAAACATGTTGCTATATTTCTTTCCGAAAGCCTCATGACCATTTATAACAAAGTCCTTGCTTTTACCCATTTCCTCTGAAATTTCAAATAAATTATCAACTGGTAACATATTCACATGTTTCTTCATGGCACATTCCTCATCTTGGTGAGTCATACTCTTACCTTGTTAAACATAAAGCAAGTTCTACACTACTATAAGTTGATAAGTAAGAGAAAGAGGAGCTGAGATAAATAGAAGAGTAGTAGTACTCATGTTCTGAGGTCAGAAAAGTAATTACATGATTTGTATCACTAGAATAAGTCTTACCATTCTTTTTAGATTGTAAAAGAACTGCAAAAAGAACAAGGAAGTTAATATTACATAAATTAAATGATTAACTAGCCTATAAGCAGACCAAACACAGAACATTATTAACAAAACCAGACATGGTTCTTGTCTTACATTTCAGTGGTTAATGTCTAATATCTAAGATAAACTTTCAGGTTCAAGTTACATTTTTTACAGAGTCCTTCTAACATTTTCACAAAAATCATAGCTGCCATCTTCAGAGTGAATGCAATGGTATAGATTTCAGGGAGAGAAACAAGAGTAGGAGAAATGAGTGATTGGTTACTGTACCATCCTACCTATACCCTAGCCTTATGCTGTCCTGGAATCTGGAATGATGAGAGAAGAAGAGGTAACCTCAGATTTATCAGTCTTTGTCTGTATTCTCAGTTATTTTTATAAAACACCCACAGAAAAAAATGCAGTGTTTTAGTTTCTGGGTGTCCGATTTAAAACTTGATATTCAATTTTAAAATAAAACACATTATTATAACTATTTTATAACATATATTCTTACCAAAAACAAATTCCATGACCTCTGCCTCATCAAACAACACTTTTCTGCTCTCATTCCATGTACCAAGTGTTTTATCAGTTGAACTATCAGACATAAGTGCATCAATGCCTTCATTTGATATTATTCTGTCATCTTCAAGGATTGATCTAACCATAGCATCACGAAGTCTCTGCCCTTGTTTTAAAATGTCTGATATCAATGAATCTGGAACAATCTTACGTTGTCTTGTTTGCTGAGATTTATAAATGTCACATATGTATTTTGATGTATCACTGGGAAAAATTTTGTAATGTTCATGGCACTGTTTCAGTCTCCTTCTCTGTCCATATACAGAATGTTCTTTAGATGACATACTTCTATTTCTAGACTTTTCTTGCACACTCTTTACACTTGAGAAATTATTTGCATTTTCAGGTTCATGAATAAACTGAAAGCTGAATCCAACATGGAGATCACCAATTCTGTCCCCAAATGTATTCACAATTGGAAAATAATGTTGATATGGATTCTCTCGTATTAATGTACATAATTCAGGTATTGTCACAAGCCCCACAACTGTAAACAGATCTTTATCAACAACATGAAGACACAGTACTTCAGAGTCTTTCAAATATTCTTCAAACAAGCTGATATTTGTCCTTATCTCATAACAAATTGATGTGTCTGTTGCAATCCCATTCAGGTTTAATTTTACATTCACTGGCCTGAAATTACACAACAACATTCAGAATACAATTTTAAAAACACACATAAACCATACTTAGTGCATGAAGTAGCTACCACAATCTTAGATACTTACCTTACAACAAACTAAAATAAATTCAGTGGCTTGAATTTATATAATAAAACTCAGTGCATAATTTTAAAACACACTATAAGCACACTAACTGTATGACATAGCTACCATGATCTCAGATACTGTAACTTTACATTATAAAAAATTATTTATGATATATAAAATTGTTTCTCAAATGGTCAGTTGTGCATAAGTGGATCACATTTCAGAGGAATATACTGCCTCTATTGCCAGGGCTGCAGGGAGGAAGGTCAAGAAGTATCTGGTTTACATCATGATCAAAACACAGGAATTGGATAATTTTGTGTGCAAGGGGCATGCAACCTTGTATCTCGCCCTGTTCTGATATAATACAGGATGACTATAAATTATAAGGTAAAGGTGCAAAACTGACATGGCAAATTTTAATGTTCACCAAAACCTTGTAGACCGATAAAAATTTGACCGGGTGTATCATGAATACGAGATACAAGCGTAAAAACTTGCTCGTTTCAAAACTTGATTGGTAACAGGGTGGGAGAGCTAAACTACTTGTAATACAAAATATCAATTCAATTCTTCGATAAAGAAAGAATATAATATCCACTAATGCTCACCTAAACGTTGCTGGTTCATCTTCACCCCACCACTTAACGAATACAACTGTTTTCATGCAAGATTTTCTGCACCAAACAATTTCATCCACTTTCATTGTTAAATAACCACTTACTTCACCTTTTATAGTCGGTGGCAAAGACCGACCTCTTATTGCCTTCTTTTTTTCATTCATTATTCATTAGCACAACCTTTAACCTAGCATATCCCCAAACACACGAAAACAATCTTCGAAATACCGTGAACTACAAACAACGAAGGGATTAGCCAATTAAAAACATGACTTAAAATCAAGGATGATAGTACATAGCAAAAGGACCTCCTCTACCAGAGAGCTGACTCCTCAGATTAATAACATATATCAAGTAACATCTACCAAACCCAGGATCTAGAATACCTATCAGATTTGGCCATAATTATTATTGCTCTAATACAAATATATAAAAATTCCAGCCAAGGCAGTAACTTTTCACACCAGAAGGTGTTGCTACTGGTGAGAAACGATCCGGCATTCTTTGTTTTCCACAAAGCTCCTGTCACGTGCCTATCCGCTTTGAAAGCCCAGGTCAACCGCCTCCAGAAGCTGGTGAACAATGGACTGAATGAGTGGAGGAATGAGTAGTGAACAGAGATAGCGGAAGCCCTGGGCGAGATTCTTGAGGCTCAGTTTCAACCAGTGGACTAGCAGTCGGACCCAGCAGTTATTTAGATGGTTAATGAGGCGATGCGTTCGTAAGAGAACTGAAATTATCCAATACCTCGGAGGCCACACCAGTCTTCTTGACACTGTTGGAAAGCTCTTCGAGAAGATCCTACTCATCCCACTCACTAGGGTATATCCAACCAAAATCCTTTTCACAAAGGACAAGTTGCCTGAAGATAACCTCCCATCAGTAGAAACAGACCCTAGTTTGAATAGTCAAGGCTTTCCGCCAAGACAAAACCCCCGTTAGCGTAAGCACAACCCCGTTTTAGTTGTAGGGATATTGTTTACCATTTCAAGCAATGCGTTTCGTACGCAGGAATGATGTTGCCTAGCAAGGAACGATTGCTCGCTCTTGCGAGGGACTCCGCCCTTGGCTATCTTCATCGTTTGTTGGTCGTTTCTCCAACCGCTTCAGAACCCTGAGGATGAGGACGACGATGGTTCTCGAAACGTTGGTGTTTTCACCATTGAACCACATGACATGGCTGGTACTCCGAGAAGAATTAATTTTACTTTGTCGCCGTGAAAACTTTAGATCATACAGATTCCAGTCTCGGAAAAGTCTAATTTTTTTCTTCAAAATATCAAGATGATGGATAATATCCAAAAAGTTCGTTATTTAAATTGTAGTTGTAGAATTCAAGCCAAATGAATGGAGATAATACGGCCAACGACAGACGTGAAACTAATATAACGTTCTGAAAGACAAAACTAATGACGGTCTAAGTATACCTGTCCAGAGACACTGAATTTAAGAAGAGTCACCAGCCTAGAACTTTGAATGGCTGTACAGAGATTTTTTGTAATATGTGGTTAGGCCTGCAGGTAGTGATAGGTCTAACTAATTCACTATCGCGATTTAGCTCCCTCAAAAAAAAAGTCATTCAAACGAATCGTTCTTCTTGAATTGCGAGCGATCTCGGTTGTCACATTTCGATTAGCTCGAGTTGCTAGATCTCTCGTCCAGACGCTTGTTCTAACCTATGCGTTGTTGAGAAAACGCTAAGTTACGCTTGTTTCGATCTTTGTCATAAATATGGTGTATATAATGGTTAGTCTAGGGTACAGAAAACCGTAGCAGTGAGATATTCAAATTATGTGCAACGATAATCTGAAGAATCTAATATAAATCGAGTATTTGCGTAGTGAGAACTGTGAGAAATTCTCGTGTGGCTCGTCTGGTTAAACTCATCGATTGTCCTCTGACGTATGCTGGACTTAAAATGGGTGTGTATTTCCATGATCGTACGTTATCAGTTATGTTAGCGATTGTTTTATGAAACATTGAATCGACAGAGTGGGTAGCTGATGCGTAATCACGTAAGAGAGTTTGGAATTAAAACGTAACTAGTCTCATCTTTGGAAGATAAAGGATACACCTTATGTATCACAATGGCACCTAAAAATGTTGCTAAACAGAACGACTGTAGTACTCCAATGATTCCTTTACGACGTTCAGGTTATTCACGTGAAAGTTTAGGAAGATATTCAGAACGATCTTTACATTCTACTTATTTGGGACGGTATGGTGGTGGTAAGTGCTTCAATAAGAAATTGTAAAGAAATTTATCTTCCATTTTATGCATTTGTAGTTTCTTATTTCTTTGTTTACAGGGAGCCAATGCAAAGATTGTATGACTCGAATACCTTATGCAACTCTCATTGCAACCATCATGTGCATTGTTGGTGTAGGAGTGTTTTGTGGTACTATGTATCGTGGTGCTACATTAAGTGCTCTTATGTTTGATCAAGTATTTCATCTGCGTCTTGCATGGTAAGTTTTCGTGATTAAACTTCAGTGACTTGTTTAAAACAGTTGGGAACAACATTTAGATACCCAGCCATATCAGCTGTTAGTGTATGGCTTAAATCCCAGTAAAATAAATTTTTATTTAATTTTAACCATGGCTTAAGACAGTTGTGGGAAGAACATAGATGTCTGCAGTTCCTCAGATGTTCAATTATGTGTAGAAAGGCTAGCAGAAATTATTATGTGTTTTAATTATAGGATGTACGATGATGGACAAAGTCCAGAAACTGTTCATTCTATAGTTCACAATGTCCAGTTACCTTTTAGGATTGTTTTATTCATTATAAGCCTATATTTTGCCTCAACCCTTCAGTTTTTGTGTGTAACTTTAGAGTTTCACATCAGTGTTATATTTTAAAAATGCAGTAATCCACACAGAACTTGTAGGTATGTGACTGACTTGTTTCTGTATTGTATTTCACATAATGCCTACCTTCATATTAATTAGGTATCTTGAACTAATGATAACCTCAGTTGCTATGTTATTTCACGTTATAGTGACTCCAGTAGTACATCTGTATGATTTAACGGTTGTAAAGTTGACAAAAGATGTGTGACTATGGAAATGTATAGCTTAAAGGTGAACTTTTGGCATTTTATTTAGTTCTGTACAAGGACTGAAAATCTTGGCTGAGTGATTATCACTCCTACTCCATATTCAATGGGTCCTGGGTACATATCTTGGTCTGGGGACTGGCTGTCCAGACTGAAGTTATGGTTTTTCTACCTGTCTGGTAATATGTCTGCATAGAACATTAATTAGGCCATGACTGTTTCCTTCACATCCTTTCTAATCAATTACTCATTATTGAAAAGGGCATATCAGTACTTCCTAAGAATTCATAATCAAGTGCCTTTTATTTTTCTAATCTTGTTTTCACTCCTTCAGGCTAGAAGCAGTGCAACTAATATTTGTGGTTGTTGGAGCAAGCATGGGAGCTTTAGGACTAATGATCCTGTTTGTGGGCTGCTTGGCAACTGGAGCAACAAGACATAAAGTGTATCGAGCGTGGAGAGCACGAGTCGGAGGCCGTATCTCATGTGCAGTTGTAGGTTCTGATTTGATTTTATACACAGAAGAATCTGTTGAGTACCACATTGTGCAAATTATATTATGAAAACATTTCATTTCATCTTAAAATGTTTTCATCAAATAGATTACATTTCACTATAATGAACAAGTTTATCTTCAGGTTTCTAACATAGCAGTAGTGGCCAGTCCTGAAAGGTCTTCATCTTTGTCATGTCCATTTGTTTGCTATGACTTTAGTACAACGTAATTTCAGTATTCAATATGTGAAATTATATATTATAATAAAAAACATGTATGGATATCAGTTTTATGATATTTTAAACACTACAGTATCCAGTACAAGTGAAGTTATTCTTGTGACATTCAGATTCATTTTAATTCCACGTTTATTAATATTAATTGCAACTTCCAATAATTGAATGCATCAGTATATGGGTTGATTTGGAATGTTATCTAGAATTTTCATGTTGCCAGTGAAACAATGAAGGACAGAAAATTATACCTGTGAATTTCCAACCAGCATTTGACCTGGTCTGTTTTCAAAGTTTGGGATCATCTTGTTTGGAAATTGTATATAAGCACTGGATATTGCATGTCTTCAATTCTGTTATAAAGTTTTCTATGCATATCCTTTTTCTTTCTTTTAACTGAGTCATACCCTAACTTTACTGTTAACCCTCTTAAGCCTAGTGGTAACTGTATGTGCCACCTTCTTTATGCGTTTAGCCCACGAAATATATATATTGGTTTCATTTCATTCTTCATAAACTGATTGTGTCCTTAAAAACCCAAAAGCCAATTGATTTTTGTAATGTTCGTAGGTTTTTTTTGGGGGGGGTGTAAGAAGTGGATATTTAAATATGTTAAGACAACCTTTTGGTTAAGAGGATTAAATAACTGTCAAGTACACATACTCATTCAGTCTCTTCATATTGTTTTGCAGTTCATGAGCATCACATATGTTCTACAAATAGCATGGCTATTAATGTTGTGTTTCCTGGTCATTGTCACACTCATTTTCACCATATTTTGGTCTCTCTGCGCTAATACAGATGTACAAAACAACAAGAAATGCATTGACTTCAAACAGTTCGGTGAGTGCTTCAAGTTACTTTTATGAACTGTAAATTTTTCTGTTTCTAGATTAGTGTTACACAGCGCACCTTAATTTGTCAAACAAAAAACATGATGGCACATCACCTAACACATGTTGAGTAAAACTATTTATGATGAACTTGTGTGTCTTGGGGGGGATGTGTATTAAAAATTGTACTTACAAAAAATATTACCATTCTCGAACTATAATGTGCAGAAAATACAATTTCTGATAAAAATTTGTGGCACACTTGAATCCTTATGGTGGCATTGGTTGCAAAACACTCTTCTAGGCAAGTCCACTTTTGACTCATAATACAACTATTGTTAGCCTCCAGAAAGGAGACACTAATTCAATATTTTTCATTTGGGAAATGCAGTAATTCAAATAAACATGACAATTTAATATTCTTTCTGAAATGAGATTGATTATGAAAAGAAACATGACTGAGAAAAAGTGCAAAAGAAGAATAGAAACTGCAAATATGAGGTTTCTTATATCATTATGAATAATCATCTTGTGGTTGTATATAGATTTCATGTTCCCAAACAACACAAGACCTCAAGATATGGAAGTATGTGACACTCATGAAATCAAATTGTTCTGCAAGGATTATGTGGAACGAGCTGAAGTGATGTTCATTCTTGCTACTGTGGCATGCCTGCTTGTCATCATAAGTCTGGTAATTTTTTATTTATTTTTGTGTTGTATGTATAAGATTTGAAGAATGTAAACATGACTGAATCATCCCTTTAGTGCAGAAATTAAGAATATACATTTCTAGACACATACCTATCTTGCAAATTAGAAGTGTTATGTATTTTCTTACAATAAGATTATTTATTTTAGTGTAACTATACACTTTCAATATAATTCCCTTCCTTTGTTAACTTACATATATCATTTTATAGTGTATTGTAATTTCTTATCAGAAGCATCTTGTCTTTCTTCCAGATTCACTACCTGATGTGCCTTTCTGCCAACTACGCTCATATCCGAGATCATGAAAAGTTTCAGGAACTTCAAGAATTGCAGTATCTTCAAGACCCTGAACTATCAGTGGCTGGATCTAAAGATCGTTTCTAGGTTACAGCTATAGATATATTCAAGGTGGAAGAATAGGAGACACTGCCATCCTAAGCTGTTGTTCTTGGTATTCTAAAACACTGTTACAGTTAACGTTTGAAAAGATATATTACAACTGTATTACACTTTGATTATGATAGGTCCTTCTTTGCACTTAGGCTTACTTTATAGACGATAACACTAGAATGTGGAGAAGTTATGTCTGTCATTATTTTACCTTCATCAGCAGCGCACAGCTATGCAAATACTCTGAACTATATAAGCTAATGAGGGCTATTTCTTTACATAAAGCCCAAATACATTTATACAGAGTAATTAAGGAAGAGTCTGCCATACTTTGTGGGTACATTTATCAAGTGACTGTGAGTAAATAAAGTTTTAATAACATATTCTAATTAAAAATGCCAGAGTGTTCTCAGCCACTTCACAGAATACTGCAGTATGTACCACACAGGAATATGCCTTACTAACATGTGCATTCAGGTTGCACAAGGTTACTGAAAAGTTTTTGTAACATGTTTCTCTATTAGACAACACTTTAGTTTCTATGAAGTATTTAATTAAAATCACTTCTTGTATGTATTTGTGTTACTTCAAACTATCATGAGTCTTTGAAAATTTCTGCCGTGGCCACTGTTACCCACTTATTTTGTGGGTTTTAAGAAGCCATGGCCTACTTCAGCCACCTGCCTTTAAGACCCATGGTTATGCTGCAATCCTGCTGCAGAACCAACACTTCAGTAGAACTACCACTGCACACACCCTCAGTAGCTTCCCTAGAACCTTGCCCTTGGTAGTATCATCAAGATAGGAATGTTCATTGCATCCGTTGCTCTTTTGCTATTTAAAGTTGCTCATTTTATGGCTGTTGGACCACATCACTTTCCAGAATTGACCTATGTTAACAAGATATTTTCTGTCCAAAATCACTTGATTATTGAACCCATGAAGATTAGCAGACTCTTCCTCAACCATCTTGCATATGTGTATCAAAGTAAATAAAAAGTATGCTTTAAAGCTTTCAGAGCAACTAATATAAATAAAATAATCTTTAGCTGTCAGTTTGTTAAAAATCAACATTTCAAGGTACAACTCCGTCCCCATCATCAGGATTTAATATAACAGTTCACCCAAACTGGCTCACATTTATACTGTCTCTTATGGAAGTATAATTGAATCACTGGGTAATTTAGATTTAATAAGCATAATTTTATAACCTTAATACCTAAGTACATTCCAACTGATGATGCCAGCATCTATGCCTGATCTTCAATGTTAAAATGATGTAAACATCTCAGTGAAAAGATGCTACACATTTTATAACAATATGCCTGTACAAAATTTTTAGAAACAAAATAATATGAAATCTGTATGTATTAGTATATATAATTCAATGGAAATGAAAGGCTCTATCAGTTTTTCACAGGTTCATGGGAAAAGTCCATTAGTTATTTCCCAAATTCACATCCTGGCTAGTGACTAGTATTTCCATGATTTTCCTTAGTTCATACAGATAACTTCATGGATGGAACTTAAAATAGGTATGACTGCTTCCTTTTTAATGTCCTTATTCATCATTCATGATCATTCTCACATTTCTTATTCACTGTTGCATAACTTCTGCTGTTCAAGTATAACAAATTAAGTAAACTCCTTCATATAATGGTGGGTAGGTTATCCAAGGTAACTTTGGACATTCTTTGCAGGCTGCTATATAGTATTATCACATATGTGAAGAATTGGATTAGTAAAAATTAATTCTTTGAGTTAATTTAACCAGAATATGTTCTAAAAGAGAAGCAGCTATTAGAGTATCCTTAAGTTATTTTTATAATAGTCCACACTGCTGTTTTCCTTTCATTGCCACTGAGTCAAATGTGTCAGTGAAATATATACCTGAAGCATTCTACTCCAATAATTGATAAATTTTCAATTTGAAAGTGGAGAATTAGTAAGGTGTAGCACAGAAACTGGTAGGTACATCTTGTCAGCAAAATTTATCTTTCTTTTATGTCTGGACTATATGCCAGATCTGTTTATACCCCTTGATTCCACAGTATTCTCATATCTTCATTTTCACATCCTGACTTAGGTGTATGTACGTTTCCTGTTGTTTCAATGCCTTATGTCTTCATAATGAGTAATGTACATGTATACAAACTTCATCATATCATGTTCATTCTTTGCCAAAATGGGACATCCTGATGTTAGGTGGTCAATAGTTTCTTCATATTCTTTAAATAGTCAACAGCTGCTTTACTACTAATTCATTGCTGAAAGTGCTCATTTGGACATATTCTGCTGGAAATGAGGGTGTATTGTCTCTTGCTGGAACATGGCATATTCCTTTAGATAGGCTTAAAGAATTTGGGCACCTTCATATTCTTCATAATGAGAGAAGATGTCTATTCAGAGTGACTGATGTAGCACGTTTTGTCACTGGTTTCTGCAACATTTGTAGTCTGTACAGATTGAAGGATAATCATATCCATAACACAATCCCTCACAAGTTGGTGCTTAATTCTTCACTAACACTTGGTCTGCCAGTTTCCTTCATGTGACTCAGTAGCTAGTCATAACAAAGGTTATGTGCCACTCAAGCAGAGAGCATCTTGTGGGAGTATTCTTCCACTTATGTTGCTGACTTGGTTTCTTCAAATCAGAACATGCTGAACTCTTTTCACACCTGTAAATATCACTGTTTTAACATTCCATATTGCAGTGCTACTGATGACATACTACAACTAAAGCTGATGCAGTAAAAGTAAAGAATTCATGTACAGGGTACTGCATTGAGCTGTGTGGAATAGTAAAATAAATAAATTATAGTTTTAAAAACATTTTTTCCCCTCTTAATTTTAAAACAATTGGTGTGATTTTGATACACTGGCACTTAATGCTACACTGTATTTTATAAGCCAGAGGAACTGTAAAACAATAGCAATGCGGGTACATGCATTAACTGGCACTTCTGCCTTTCAATACCCCTCTCTTATCTAAGTCACTGGAATTTTTATAGTCTATAAATACTAATTAATTTCTCTCAAGTGTTAACTGGTTCTCAGACATTCTCAATATTCCTTCTTCCCATGCTAAAGTATGTTTTAGTTCTGGAGTTATGGGGGGAAAGATAAGTTGATTCATTGTCAGAATATACATTTGATTTGATATACATTGGGACAAGGGAAGTGATCATGCCTCCACCTCTTTACGGCAACCTTGAAACTGTGTCTGTGTAAAGAACATGGTGTTTATAACTTATGCACACAAAATTTAACCATTCCCTACAACATTCCAATTAAGTTGTATGTAAATGTTTGATATGCAATGAAAATTTAGTGAGGGAATACTGAAAAGCACTTGAAAGATGCTGAATATTGTGAATTTGAAAACTGAACACTGATTTTATGAACAGCAGCTGATCACTGTGACATTAAAGAGTATACTTAAATATTCCATTGTTAATATTGGGGGTAATTGTGGTTTGCTGTTTGGCATAAAAGCTCTTTAGATGTATTACGTATATGGCATCATTAAGCAGTAAAACATCTTTGTTGCCATTTGGTAATGAGTTCAGAATACAGTATCTCTACAGACTGAGTATTATTGAAAGACTGTGAAGAATATACTGTTGTATTTAAAGAAATACAATAAAAGTTACTTACACACACACACACACACATTCAATTAAGTGTATGTATTCGTTTATTGGATTGGATTCTGCTGTACACAGGTACAAAGAAGGTGAAAGATGACTGAGCTGGGTATGGGACAAAATGCATTTTAGGAATTCAAGGTGAATCGCTGATTGGCCTTCATTTTTCAGTTTCACATTCCACAAACAAACTGCCTCAACAGAAGTACTTATTTTCAAAGACTATTATGACACAACATTTTAGGACCTTAATTAGGTGGTGTGTTACTACCACCTCAGAAGTTTGCACCATTACCATGTTGGTATGATCAAAGTCAGGCTATGAAAATCAGTTGGTTCAGAAGTTATTCTGGAAGACTGACAAGAACAGGGTACCATGAGCCTATGTCTCATCATAAAATAAGGATTGTATACTGAAAAGTTACTGTAAATGGTTCTTTCACTTTTCAGTTATACATGTAACAGCCCTTGTCCCAACACATGACAGTTTTTAATGTAAGGCACAACTTATGTACGTAATGTGTGTACATGTGTTACTGGTATTAATTTTTGTAAGTACAGTAAACCCTCAGCTAATGTGGGGGTACAGTCCTTGAATGTGGTGCATACAGTGAATCCACACTGAACAAACTTAATATTGAAGATTTCTGTCTTCTGGGTTGTTGCGCCATGTAGTCTGGTCGATGCTAACCAATGTTTCAGAGGTCATACTGCCTCTGTCCATCATCATCATCGCCCTCTAGCTTCTGCATCCAGACTGGCTCTGGGGCCTACCCAGCCTTCTGTCCAGTGGGTACTGGGGGTCCTTTCCCTGGGGGTTATGTGTGGCCAGGGCGTAATGCTGACCACTCACCCCTAACTATTGCCGAGGTTACCTCTTCCCTGTGCACCTACATGGCATGTAATAGGATGGCTTTACTCTTCTTTTATATATGCTGAATAAAACAAATCAAGTTGGGCATATAAATACATGCACAAAGGCTTCTTAAACAGCAGTCATATTTTTTCATATGCTACAGTGTGTTTTGCTGGCCATGTAAAATTTAATTTTCCACATTTATTTTACGTGTATAATCAAATCCTCATTGGACAAACCTGAGTTGGAGGGTTTACTGTATTCTAAAGTAGCTGAGTATATACAGCAGGAAATTGCTTTGTTAATATTGTGTTTGTTGATGAATTATCAGTAGTAATGATTAAGTATAGCTGCAAAGTAAAGTTAAGACACATTTAAGAAATTAAATAAAGTAAGGAAAAGACTTCATTCATAACACTGAGGTGCTTTTATCAGCTTTGGAAGTATAAATATTCAGTTACTTGCATATAATCCAGATGAAGGTCTCACAGAAGGAAGTGTCAGATATGTAAATTCATAACTGTGAAAGTTTAGTGGTGAATAAAACATTCATAAGTTAGTGTGCCCGAATCCTTTACTCTGAAAAAATCTGTCTGCTTTCTTATGTTATCTAATTTAAACAAGTTAGATTTTAAGTTGGTAGGTCTTCTGATTTAGTATCTAGAACTTGGTGGAAGTTGAGATATAGCTTAATGGGTCTTACTCTTATGTGCTGTGTAATATTAATTTTAATCTGCATTTCAGAATGAATATTGAATTAACACACAACTGCCAGACTTTTATAATTAATGTCATTTTTACTATCAGTATTTTTGTCACTTGTAATCATATATTCACAGAAATTCTATGTAAGACAACTGTATTTTTTTAAATAAACCATATATTTTGTATCAATAGATTTAGATTTACTGAAACAATTGTATTAAGTTGGAAAGGAAGAAAGTATGTACCAAAACAGTTACACTGAAAAAATGGAAGAATTCCAATTATTCTGTTGTGGGGAGGCCATAGTAATTACTGAAATTGTTCTCATGGTGCAGTAAAAATGATTAAAATGAAATGCACTTAAGTGTTGATTATCCAAACTAAGCAACTGTTTAAGCCAGTACATGTTGGCATACCATTTTGTCCCCAAGTTTCATACTTGTACTTTGTCAAAATTTTCATATCACTTCTGAATATTGGACACCATTTAGCTGCATTTGCAATAAAACAGAACTGCAGTGAGGAGGAAGTTCAGTTAATGTAATGCATAGAGGAATAATACGTGTCATTGGACATGGCCTTGATCATTATTGCAGTGCATGACTCTGAATCACAGAAATAGTGAATGTTTTTCCCCCCCTTAAAGAGACTTGTCAGTCTGTAAAGAAATGTGAATGCATATACAACCAAACATTTTTACTTATATGGCAGAAGTGGGGGGCAGAGAGAGAGATTTGTTGTCAAGAAGTGCAAATCTAATACTACTGAAACTGAAAATGTTAAGAGTGCTTTGGATGTTTCAAGTATTTCAGACACTTGTGTTGCGCACAGTGTTATTTTTGAAACCATTACAAATAACAGTTGTGGTGGTGATAGTGTGATAAAACATTTCCTAGTTACTGGAATAAGAGCAATGACTGCAGAAATTATATGAAAACGAATGAGTAATGATACAAAATGGAAGACATAGTTGTGCAACATGCTGTGAAGTTGGATCTCAGAATTCACAAAGCACAGGGAATGAAGATGACCACAGAACAGAAAGAATGCAGTTGATATGAAAGAAAATATCTGATCACTAAGACAGTGCTGCACATCAGACACATATTACAGTATATGCAAAATCAAAGGAAGATAAATTACAGAAGGCAATATCCATACAAGAAACTGTCCCCATGAGCATTCCTCCCATGTGTTTGGGAAGAGTTATTCATTTGATCATTTGTATGTATATATTTTGAAACATTTCACAGTCTGTGAAGATGTGTTCATATCACTCCATCATTGAACTGGATTTAAAATTATGGGGAATGACTGACAAATTCACTGCTTTAAGCAAGAAAACAATTCTTGATATCCGCATTAGAACTATGTTCTCTAATTCTTCTGACCCTAGCACCTTCCTTTGAGATTTGATGGAACTGAATAACCCATCTGCCCCAACTGTTTACATTCAATGTTAAGCTGTTTGCACAAACATGGATTCACATGAGACTATCTTTTGCAAAATTTAATTTTTTTTTTTCACAGCATATATAAGCCAAAAGTGTGGTGGGTTGTATCATGTGCTAGATGGACGTGTGCTGTGGCATGATTACAAAGCATCTTTTTAATGAAGAAGTGCTGTGCTTTCTATGAGGTAGGGAGTGAGTGTTTAAATATTATGACAAGCTTTGGCTTCAGTCTCTTACACTGAAATAATGTGTCTGGCACATAAAGTGGTGTCTAGGCATGATGAAGTTAGACTTGCGACTGCTTTTGAAATAACCTAGTTTTCATGTTTGAAACTGTTATCAACAGATGATATGAGAATCTTATTATCTGAATGTTGAAGCAGGTAATGGGAAATGCAATATGGGCTACATACCTTCATGGTTTTGATAAGGCTTTGGCTGGGAAATAAACGGTATAAATGGAAAAATAATAATGTCACCATATTTTGAAATTATGGTTTGATACTTTTTCTATATACATGACAGAAAAGTCATATGTAAAATAAAAGTTTACATTAAAAATATCAATTCCTGCAATTTACTTTACTTTACGTATAAAATATAAGAGCATAAAAAATACACTTTATAACAAGGTCATAATGATAATTTAAACATTGAACCCTTAAAAGAGGCTGCGAAGTTATGCAATCATATTTCTATTTCACTTTGTGAAGTTATCATTTGTCATTCTAGTTTTTTAATGTGCTTATTTGAAACATGAAATGGCTAAGAAAATATTGCACTGAAACAGCTGATGTATTATTAGGGTATGTCATTAGAATTTTTGTAATTAGTTAAAGGACAACATAACAATTTAAACTTAAATATTTTTTGTTCCCTTTCCACTCTCATTATTGGCTATCCGAAAAAATCCTGTGAGAAACAACAGATTTTTGATGATGCCAGAGTAACAATGAAAACTGACAACAGCCTATATAAATTAACAACATATCAAAGCTGTTTTACCAACCAGTTTTCAAACTGGGCACAACAGCATACCATGCAATTGGAAAACAACATGTTACAATCCACTAAGTTATAAAATTTACTTTCTCCACAGGTTTTGTAAGAACAGAGGATTGCTACCTTTATTTACCATGTTCTCATCCACAACTGCATAAACCATCCTACATTCCTCCTTTGAAGTGTTGTGTAATATACACAAAATCCACATATTATGAACTGATGAGAAATTTTTGGTAAAATAATATTTTTTACTTAATGTCAACAATAGCTGTGCAATGCACAATGCACACTGTCACCCCAATGTGCTCATTTTCTCATATCACACCCTGATATGAACTCGAGGTATCAAGACACATATAACACTAAACCACTGGAGTTATGACCAATTTCATTCTTCTGCAACCTTAAAGAAACAGAAATAATGCAACTACAATGATAATGAAACACACAATAAGGAGTCAAACATCAGATTTGTGTATAAAAAGAGAGTGGCACGTCAGCATTATTATATTTATAAAGCATTTGTACAAACTCAACTAAAGTAAGGACCTCAATTACAATACAAAATTCCTGTGTTTAAAATTCAGTTTATCAAATAATGCTAGTTACAGGATATTCATCATAGGTAGGACCTGAAATGGTGAATTTTTCTGTCATTAATTCATAATGAAAACATGCTTTAAGAAAAACACTTCAAAGTTCTATAAGCCAGATCCCTCACTTGGCAAATAAGGGATTTATATTTATAACTGGTTAATTAGTTTTATAATCAGGTGAACTGATAAAATTAAATGAGGTTAGAATTGGAGCACAGATACATGCAGAAAACTGCAGGTGTTTGGTTTTTGAGTAGTGGAGGCAGTGTATTCTTAATCTTGGCTAAGTCAGCCTAAATTTGTAATAAAAGGTTTAATTTGATAGAAGTAGTATTTTATTTGTTCATTATTACATTGAGATGGAACCCTATAAAACACCAGGACTTGCTAGAACCAGTTGTTATATAGTGCTGTCAAGAGGAGTTATTTCTTCCTTATTTTTTTAAGCACAGTAAGAATCCACAGAGTCTGAAAAATACACTTTCTCAATGAGAAGGCAGTAGTCCACAAATATCCATGCCTTTGGAAAGAAGTAAATACTCATTTTTCTCTCACCTTACAAATATATTTGTATTATCATATAAACCAATCATGTCCTCCCTTCAAAGACCTGAAGTCATGGCTGAATTTATCTCTGTAAACATACTGATATTGATTATGCACATGTAAGTACTCCAACAGCCAAGCTCCTCCCTCATATTCAGGTTAACATGGTTAGTAAGTGATGAAGTTGTATTTATTTACCAATTATATGTTTTATTATTGGTGTGAAACAAATAAAAAGAGATGTTTAGAAGAATAACTTAAAATGCACTACATACCTTTTTAATGAAGTGTTTTCAGCTTATATTCATCTGATTACGTTGGTCCTGGGTATCATGACTGGAGATCTGATCTTTGCTTCTGTTTTCATGAGATACTGCACTATTTTGGGCATCTGTATTAGTTTTATCTTAAGATCATCTGGAAGCACATCCTTTTCGCTATACTGCTTTATTTGTCCATCTGGCTTTTCAAACCGAACTGCACCACTTGCTGAGTTGAATGTGATAATAGACCCATCATCATGATGAACCTGTACCTCTCCTGATGGAAGCTATGACAAGATAATGAAGAGTATGCATATACTGTACTGATTACTATTGTTATACACACACACACACACATACATGGATGAGTTCTGTTTGATTGCATGAACAATGTAGTTGACCTGTGTCTGTGTGTCCAGATTGAATGAAATGGTTTATTGGTTTGTTTTCATTTTGATACTTTTCCATTTTGCCATTATATTTATTCCAGATATGACGAAAAATTGGTCTGTATATAATTCACTACCTCTACATACTGTGGTGTCTTTCATTGGATTTTGAAACTTTTCATTTATTATTATATAGTCAATTACAGATCGAAACCCTCTTGTAGTCCAAGTGTATTTATTTATAACATTTTTCTGGAACAATGTGTTTGTAATTTTCAAGCCATTATAGGAAGCAAAATCTCACAATTGTCCACCATTTTCATCACACAATCCTCTCCAAAATTTCCACTGACTTTTGGGATTGGTAGTTTCCCTATTGAATTTTAATCTCCTGCAATTATAATATGGTCACTTTTATTACTTAATTCCTGAACACGCAATGTTCGAATCTTTCTGTTAATAAAAACACAGCTTTCCACTTCCTATCAACCAAAATGGCTACCCATTTAGTTGCTCTTGCAGTCTGCTCAACACCAGAATATATCACTGTGTAGTCATTTATTTCTGACGTACCTTTCAACTTTTTTTATTTATGTGGTAACAGCTGTTTATATTTATTATTTTCAATTATCTAGTTAATCAAATTTCTTTGTTAACTCAAACGTTATGTTACATAACTAAAGACATTCATCTAACAATATCCACTGACAATTCTAGTGCTCTACCATTCCATTTTAAAATTACATCACTAGTCTAGGTACTACATCGCTTTACATGTCTTGAATATGAATCAAAGTCTAATTTTTGCTTTACCTTGTAAATGTTTTATGCCTACCTGTTCTCATCACTGTTTGTAACTGTATTTAAATTTTATATCTTCTCAAGCATTTCACCTTAGCAGCCTGAATTTACTTGTATTTTCTGTACAGGTTGGTGAGTTGAAAAGACATATGACAGGATATCCATATACAACTTACTTGCACAGCCATGCCTATGCCTGGCACAGTGACCCTCTTTTCTCTTTCTTTCAGTGATGCAGATGGGGAAGAACCTCTACTAGTGGGAGTTAAGTTTTGTCTATGCTGCACTGAACTTCCGCAATGCTTGGTGGGAATGGTGCTCATTAATGATACATCATATGAGCACATCTGTAATGGGATATAGCATAAAGTATTATACATACACACAACGTTGAAAAGAAATTTTGGAATTGTAGGATTTGAGGTTTTCATAGCAGTAAGACTGAAGATGGCTGTCTTTTGGGTTGTTGCACCATGTAGTTTGGTAGAAGTTTACCAAAGTTTCAGAGGTTTTTGCTGCCTCCATCATCAGGGCACTGATGGAGGCAGCAACGACCTCTGAAACGTCGGTAAACTTCTATCAGACTACATGGCGCTTTGAGGAATGTGATGAAGATGAATAACTGATTTTCATAGAAATCCATGGGGCAACTGACAAAGATTACCAAAATCAGTGATGGCATCTCATATATCTAACAAAAACACAGAGAAGAAAGAGGAGGGGCAAAGACAGGTGTACCTCATGACAGGACTAACACAAGACGGATTTTCTGTTCCTGTAAATAAAGTTCTTGTTGAAGTCTGCACGACCTTGTACATAATGACATGTGAAATAAAACGAGGTAAAACTAACATTTTGGAACACAAGAAAGAGCCCTCAGTGGGAATTTATCAGCCAGACAAACAGAGTAAGCGTGAACCTAAAACCAAACTAGTGGTTGAAAGGGAGGAGTTTTTAGCACATATAAACAGCTTTTTTCAGTATGAGAGTCACTACCGAAGACATCTTAGTGATAGGAAATATCTTCGAAGTCACCAAAATGTATAAAATGTATGAACTGTATGCAGAATACAAAAGAATAAAGGAAAGCATACTCCAAACTATCATGTTATAGGAAGGTTATTCAATCCACAGGTCCCATGTTCAAGGCCCCAGATCAAACACTTGCAAATTATGTGACATATTTCATATAAAAAGAAATACTGTAGTGATAAAAAAGGATGCCATTAAACAAGATTATAATAACACTTGGCTTTGAAAAATGTAGCATGCAAGATTAAAGGAGAAGGTAGAGCTTTGGCAGTTACCAATGAGGCAATGACAGTATTAGTATTTCATTTACAATGTCTACCCATTCATGTTCTCAGTGCAAACATAGCTTATAACAAAAGGCAGCTTTAGATGTACAATCTGAGTATCAAAGAACATTAGGATGCAGTGAAACTAGGAATTGGAGAATAAATTTTAAATGTAGAAAATGGATACATGCAACATCCCAACGCATTCTTCATTTACCAAGTAAATTAGTCCTAGCACTTTTCATTCAGATCTCATAAGCAAGGTGACTATAGATGAAACACTGCTTGTAGACAAGCCTTGAAAGAAAGCGTTTTTAAATTCATTTAAGTTTATATCACTTTAAACTAATCCCACAGAGAACAGTCTATTGTACCAAACAAAATTATTAAAACTGAAAATAGCAAGTGCTACAATTTAAAAATAAAATTACAGAGTATGGTACAGAAAAGGTGAAAGATGTCATGTGGTGGTGACGGTGAACAAGCCTTAAACTCTCATCTTACCTGTGGCATATGTGACACACGTTCAGCTTTAATGTTGGCCACATTC